TATGGCACTTGATTTCTTTCAGATATATGCATGCAGAATTGATACACAAACTATACTTCTCAGAAAGAAAGAAAGAAACTGTAAAATATTTATGGTGAAATAATTCAGTGATAACCCATGGTTTGGTTTGTAACCATGAAAACTTGTAGAATGTAGATCATCTTCCATTCATCTCCAACTCCATCAAAGAGCAATTTATTGAGTGGGTGAAGAGCAAAGAAGTGCAAGCGCTGAGAAACTGATCTACATCCAGTTTCTGTTTCCATTTTCTGAATAAATGATGAGGACTACATTTGCACATGATTTTTTTTTTGGTCACGACCAAGGATTTTGAAGTGTGTACCAACAACTAAATTTATTTTCTTGTAATATTTCACCCACTGTGACAAAGCAACGATGTTGAAGAAAGAAACCAAAATTGCACATGTCCCTTGTCTTAAGACAAAAAATAAAATAATAAACCAATAGAAAGGTGGTGATCTTACCTTATTAATTAGTAACAATCACATTGTCATAAATTTAGAAACTGATGCTTTGTGTGTAATGTTTATTAAACTTTCCCTACAGTAAGTTGTTCTCCAGATTCCTGCAACTTGGTGTGAAGCCCTTCAGCAAACACGCAGCTGCTGGACAAGCCCAGCCTCCTGGCTCTTACAGTACAGGAGAAACTCTGCAATGATTAGCTTACCCTTGAGAGTTCAGATGACAAAAACCTTCATGAAGATACAGTATTTGCTGGGTTGTCAGCAGCAAAATCTTTTATTCTGGTATCAGGAATGCAGAAAACTTCCCAAACTTCCCATGTACTTCATTATATATAAATACTCTGAATACTACAAGTGAAAAAAATGAATAGAATTTTGTCACAATACCTAGGTATTAGCAGTAAAATAATATATATTTTTGCATGATCGAGCCTCTCTTCTTGTGAAATGATAGATCACTGTAGCTCAGTTAAGTTCCTCAGTGACCTCATTGGCTTGTGACTCTGGTTAACAAAGTGCATTTTATTAGAATTTCAATGTTCCTCAGATAAATGCATTTTGAATTTTTAAAATAATAGAACATTTTAATATTAATTTGATTTTTCAGATCTAGTTACACCTTTTCCTTGTCAGATCAGAGTTTCATGGCTCATTGCATCCCAGCATAGTAAAAAACAAATCTATAATTCCCATTAATTTTGTTGGAGTTTAGAATCCACACCTTTTTAAAATGTATTCTGTAGAGGCTTGTTTAAATTAAAGGTTTTGTTCTTGAAAGATAACTTTAGCATTGCCCTGGCAAATCCTTAAGATGTCGTGACAGCTTCAGCAACTGCTATTTTCAGACTGCTTCATTTAAAATTAATCAACAGTTGGCTTTTCAGCAGATGCATTTTACGTATTTTTGCTGCTATCTTTTAAAAAATGGAAAGTCTTTCATATTTGCAGTCTTGGATAAGATCTTGTGAATTTTATTTCCTTGATCTGGTTATCTGCAAACATTTTCTAATGTTTTCTGAGGATTATCCCCTCATAATGTTCAGTTGTATTTGATGCAGGAATTTGCATGAGAAGTGAGGGTTGTTGGATTTCAAAATTGAAATGGTGATTGGTCTGTAAGGTCTCTGACACATTAGAGATCTAAAAGCAAGCTTCCCCTTTAGCTGCCTCCCAGAAGTGAGACATGGAGACTTGGGGAATTTCAGTTGGGAATCTCCTTAGAAAATGTTATTACATTCTGTTTTATTTTTTTAATCTTTTGGATTGTGGCTTTAAATCTCTCAAACGTAGCATTTACAATCTGGATACTTTATTTCAAATTACTTTACTTTCTCTTCGAAGTAGAGAATTGTAATGTCTCCTCCTGAGCTGCTTTTTGTTATAGTAAAAAAGATTTATTTGTTTTACGTAATTCCAAATTATAAAAAGGAATTATCTTAAATAGCTTGAATTTTTATGATGTTTTATCATTGGACAACATCATCAGGCATTCCAAGTACTCTCTTCCAACTCAGGAATGCAAATGCTCTGGTTTTATTTCCTTCTTGGGAGGCTCATTTACCAAGGTAATGCTTCTATGCAATTTCTGTCCATTAGCTTGTCACTTTGATAGATCCCTGGTGATGAGAAGGACTCAGGATTTAAGGTTAAAGGTGTGTTATCACGTAAGAATTAGCTCTTGCTTAGAATTAATGAAGTCTGTAACCTTTTCCATCCTAGTTCTTGGATGATTTCTTTAGATGTGAAGTACAGTGTATGAAAATTGTCATGAATTTACTGGTCACCTGATTTTCAAATCTGGGACTCGAATGAAATACTGTTTTTGCTTAAAGCATTTACCTGTTTTGCTGCTTTGTCCTTTTCTTGAGATAAGAAATTTTAGTACTGGTCTCACTTTCAGAAACAAATTTGCATAATTAATAAACTCTAGGAAAGGGGACAGGTATGAGTGAATGAAATCACGTTATTGATTAAACACTTAAAGTAACATCTAAAAAACACTTAGTTATTAAAGGTGGTACTTTTATTATTCTTTTTAGAACTAGAGTTGCCCACAAAATCTCCCAAAGGAATATGGACAGATAAATTTCTCACTTGTGGTGTGACAAACTACTTGCAACTTTGCTTCACTTGAATGCCCTTCACAATAGAGAGAATGTAAATGTTAATGTTTATTGGCCAGAGCTTTTGTCATCAAAATCATGCAGTTCAAATCATGGCAGTGTTCAAATGTGATAGCTGACTTAAACTGCTGTTCTGGCTTTTGGTACCAGGGAAATGGCTTCATTACAAAATAATATGTAGTTGTAGTGATCTTTCAGAAACAAGATACTATAATTGTCAATCCTATTTCCCACTGTTATTTAGAAGACAGTGTAACATATGGAGATGAAATTTCTGATGTGTAGATCACATACACAAATACAATGCCAGGAGCTGAGGACTAAGATTTGCAATATGTCACTGTAGGAAAGTGTTCAGGAGAGGTAAAGAGAAATGAAGCATTTTAAGGTGAGATCAAACAGAAAATTTCTTCCCATAGGGTACCAGAGGAATTTGAAGGAAACAGAAGTGTAAAAAAAATTCTATGTTTTTTTTCTAATGACTTTTTCTTCTGACCTGCAAAGGTTTAGGGAAATATTTACGGCTGATTATTTCTGTTTAGCTGATGGAAATATATGCTTAGGCTTGGAACTGTGTCACTGAAATCTATGAAGTTTCCTCTTACACTGAGCTAAAATATATCCTCCAACATCAACCTCATAAACTTCATATGAATAAAGATAGGAATGGTATTTATAAACATACACGAAAATATAATATTTTGAGGTAGGAATATCCGTCTGAAACATTTTGTTTATGTCCAACACTAAGAGCATGTAAAGGTAGATTGCTTCACTTAAGAAATAACTCAGTGTAAATACTATGAGAAATTTTGCCACTGAAGTTTAATCTATCCAAATTTAGATGTAATAAAGTAATGAAAAACTTTCTCTGGAGACAGTTGTAAAATCTCCACAGTTTTCACTGCTGTATAATTTAGTAATGTGTATGCACACGAAAAGTTATATTAAAATCAGCGAGGCTTTCTAAAATACATGATAAATCTGTTCACTAAATGTAATAAAATAGAAGCAACAAAATTTTATTTTCTGTGATTAAGAGAGTAAAAATAGATTTCCTTTCTTCTCTGATTTGGTTTATTAGTGCCTTATATGCCTTGTCTTACAAAGATAAAAGAAAATTATGCACTATTAGAACTACAGGAAGAAATCTGAGTCTTGAGAGTGATGGGGAAATCTGCAGATTCCAATATTTTATATTATTGCCTATTTGTGAGATTTTATTATTTTGACTTTTTTCATATTGATGTATATTGATTTTGATGATCTTTTCACTTTTTAGAGTTATGATTTTTTTTAGAAATGAAGTTATTATGTTCACTTAGAAGTGGATAAGGAAACTTAAAAATTGGACATGACTCTCATTTAGATTACTTATCTGAAATAGAGACATGCTGCAATGCAGATAACATGCACTTCACCCCCAACTGTCTAGAGTATGTTTTCCCCTTAGGCCAGTTTTTGTTTTTAAAGTTGCTTAAATCATGAATATCTTTTTTTGTCTGGCAAACTGCTTCATAATCTATTTTGTAATTCAGTATGTTCAGAGTGGTGAAGTCCAACTGCAGCTTGCAGTCTGAAAAATGAGACATCCTTCAGCTTGGCTTGGTATGAAAAGTGTGAAGTGTGATAGGAAGTGCATGGCCAAGAGACAGTTAGAAAGCAGGAGGTAGAGTTGGAAGAATACTCGTCGTAAAACACAGCAAGGAGTCTGGTATCAGAGTTGTTAAGAGGACAGCAATAACATATGGCCTTAAGATAAGTGAAAGAAACGCAATACAAAAGAAATGGATAGGCAGTAAATGCAGGGATAAAGAAGTACGGAGTCTGGAGAGGTAAGGAAAGGGCTTCAACACCACAGAAAAATAACTTCTATCAAGAGCTAAAGATAAAAAGTCAGAAGGCTAAGCTGAACAATCGAGGTCCTTAAGTGAACTCAGAATGGTACCTATTAGTACCAAGGAGGTCTTTTATCAGAGATGGTCTGCAGCATATAGTGTCATACATTGCAAAATCATCTGTGTTGCATTTATTTTTCCTAGGCTTCATTTGCAACCTAATTTGGAATGTAGGGAAACTATCATTCTGACTTCTAAAAGAGTGGTTTTAATGCAAATTTTGCAATAATATCTAAACTGTAGGCTATTATCTGACATTTCTGTTTTTTATAAGTCTTGACCTAAGGAAAGGAGGGAGTAGTATGTTTCTTTAGCCAAAGCTGTGGAGAAACTAAAAAGAAAAAAAAAAGTAATATAGTAATCTGGGTGATTTTAGACAAACTCAGCAAAAGATAGAGATTTCTTTTACATGTAGAATAATACTAATAGATCTAGGGAATAGAATAGGAAGAGAAAACTTATTAATCTAAAAATATCTATTTCTTTGTTCCTAGGTTCAGACATTGTTCAGTGGTTGACAAAGAACTTATCTATAGAAGATCCAGGTAATTTTTTCTTTTTAATATTAGAATATATATTTTATATATATTAGAAAATTCTAGATTATCTTTTTAAAGGATTGCATTCTGTTTGTCTTCTGTTGCAATGCGGAGACTGTGTTTCATCAGTGTAATTTCTGCAGAAAAAAAAGACATCATCAAGCTTCAGAAAATTTTGCTAAGAATCTGATGATTTTGGTTATCCATTTTGTTGGAGCACGTACTGGGAAGCAAGAGGATGTCCAAGAAAATGAATGCTTTAATTAGTAGAAAATTAATTTATGTTCTACTCTGTTAGGAATTAACTCATAGTTGTACTAAATAGTTTCATAAGCACATGACGTTTTCCTGACAGAATTTTGAATAGATCAGTGAATAAATAAAATTAATAAAATGTGCTCTAGTATTGCTAGCAAGAGCTGCGTTTGCATTTTTGAATTTAGATGCTTTTATAGTATCTTAAACAGAGAGTGAACTGCAAATAGCATCAGTGCTCAATGAACTGCCTTGGAATGTGGAAGTAAAGCTTTGGTTCCAAGTGTGCCACACATTTCTTATATGACCAGGTCCTAGCTCAGTTTTTATGTCATTGTGCATTATTTCCAGAAATGAGTGTTTTCTAGTAGAAAATGTTGAATATCTGAAATAAATTCCATGAAACTCCTGTTCGATTTTCTTTAGGGGAAAGATCTTTAGAGCATAATAAAAAAAAATCCAATATTTCCTGTTCCTTTTTTCAGACTTTTGGGAATGTAATTTCTATCTTTTTTTTTTTTTTTTTTTAATTTTAAACATGTTATCTGTTATATTAGAAATGAAGTTTAATCATCGTGGAATTCAAGGAAAGAGTAAAATCACTGTGTTTAAAATTATAAATTGCATAATATTGTAGGTGCATAATTCAATATCTGCAAACAATTCACAAATTCACAAATTATCTAAATTATTACATCAAGGAGATCGCTAACTGCTGCCGGATTAGTATTACTTCCCACAGAGTGTCATATGTTTTCTTCCTGAAGACAATGTGGAGGTCACTAGATAAATGGGTGTGATACTGTGTTTCTCAGTTGTCAACTAAAAAACACCTACCTGCCTATTCTTATCAGAGTTTGAAAGATTGCCATTGATATAGAAGCTCAACTTTTATTTGTCAAACCAGAACTGAACTACTATGGTAGGCTATCATTCAGCTTATCTGGTTGTTTGAAACTTTACAATAGAAAAAACCTTAAACTAAATGAGAAACATGGTTTCCTGTGTTAATACTGTTAATACCCAATTAAAATTAAACAAACACACATGCACTTGCATATATAACCAGAACACATTTTAATGTAATTTTATCTGAGCTGCGTTATATCTCCTTGGATTGCATGAGTGGAAAGACTGTCCACAATAACAAAAGTGTCTTATTCTGTTGGTTCACGTCGGTTCTAGTCCAGGGACTGGACAGCTAGAAGCCAGCTGTCTGGCTGCAAATCTTTGGAAGGCCAACCACCTCAAATGATGTGTGATATCAAATGAGTGTGATAGCACTCAGAATTGCCAGATAGCAATGAGCCTCACAGATGGTGATCAAGGACTATCCACAGGGCAAAGCTTTTGATCAAATTCTGGTTTGTAAAATCTTTGAAGATTTTTGACTTTTTGTTCCAGTTCTAGACAGAACTGTCCAGAATTTCCTGTAAAAAGCCCTAACCTTCTGAGGGCTGTTGTCACCATAATTTGGATTTCCATTATCTTCTGTCTACTTTTCACCAATATGCCAGGGTTTATGGCTCTCTTTTAAAATTACTCCTTAAAGTCGTGTTACCAAGCTGTTGTGCAGTTTTGTGATGCAGAAATAAATAAGCCTTGTGTTTGCACTGAAAGTTATACTCTCCAACAAATTCTGGTATCAGCAACATAATATAGACCTTGGTTCATATACTTTAAGAGTATATTCTGTAATCTCTGGAAAAAGCTAACAACTATTTATAATCACTCCATGTCAGTGTGAACTATTCACATGAGCAACGCATGCAAATTTGATATCAAGAGGATAAACACATAGGCAGATTCTTCTTTTTTAGTAAATTAAATAACTAATTAGAAGTAGTGCCTTTTTTTTTTCTTTGATTTGCATAGAGCATGCAAATACAGTAACATTAACAGGGAAGAAATCTGCTTTATGGATACTGGGAAAACAAAAGAGAGGAGGAGATCTGGCAGCAAAATTTCTTTTCACTGTGATAATCAATGTAAAGCTAGTATCTGGAAACAGTAATTTCAACCCCCAAAAATGTTACAAGTGTAAATTGCCAGTAAACAAAACAAAGCAAAACAAAAACAAACACCAAAACAAAAAAGCACATTTTTCCATAGCGGAAAAACAGTTTGTGTGGAAGATTTGTAAGATTTTGGCTTGCTACACTAAATCTCTGTCAAGAAAATAAACTGAGGATGATGGGTGGATTCTGCTAAATTGTACCAGATCTGATGTTGTTTCAGTGGAGTAGAACAGTGCCCAGAATAGCTGTGTGCAATGTACAGTTGCTGTTATATTATTTACTTTTCAGTATGCACTTTAAAAAAATGTTTGTGTTTCAGCCTACAAATTATCTGTAAAATTTTAAGGAATGGGAATTAGATATCTAAGTTATTTTTAATTTAAAGCTTAGCTCATAAAAATAAGCCTGACCTCAACCTGAAAAGAAGTCATTAACTGAGTTTACAGAATCGTAATGGTGTGTGGTTTGGCACTTAGACATATGTTTGTTGAATTGGCCATTACAGGGTAAGTGCTGACTCTTCACTGATGGTACCAATTAATCTCATTGAAGAAAATCTATTCCATTTTTCTACAATATATTTTTCTTTTTTTAAGTAGCAATTAGTGTTGTGAAATGTACCAGGCCGACCACACTAGAGATTGAAATCCTTCCAATCCAAAAATAGAAGAGTTAGGGTTAGTGACCTGTTTTAAAGATGTCTGCTGAAATTTCCCAGTCTCTGGCTCTGTACTTGGTTCTTACATGCAATCAGTATCAATTTTTGGTTTAGCAAAGAATAATTAGTATTTTCATAAAGACAGGTGTGTGAGTTACAAACACTCATTTCATCCTTCACATAGTCCATGAAGTATTTCTATATAGGTGATTCACAAAGAGTCTGTAGGAGTTGATAATATGTTAAGCCATCACCTTCTTTCTCTTCCATAGTATCTTTACTTCAAAGTGTGTATGTTTAATTTATTGATATCTGCTAAGCCAATGGAAATTATTTGGCTGAAGGCACATTGTTTTTGGGTGGTTGCTTTAATAGAGTTGCAGTATCAGCAGCCATGTAAACTGTGATCACTAACCCAGTGCAAGAAAAAGGAACAATTCAGTAGGACAACATCTGTTTCTTTTGCTTTTCCTTCCATTGTTTTGTATTTAAATCTCTCCCCAGCACTAGCTGTGCCAACAATATCTTTGATAATGCACTGTTTGCTGTAAGAGTTAGCTGAAAAGTATTAGGGTTTTTACTTGAGTGTATTTTATTTGAGTGTACTTGAGTGTAGCTGGAAACCTATTTCTACCCCTTCCTTGCATGCATATGCAGGAAGGCAGCAGCAAAGAGCAGCAAATCATTATAACCTGGGACACAGCACCAGCCAGCTGCAGGCATAGGAGTGTTTCCCTTTCCAGAGCTTGTTAAAGGAGAAAATAGCCTCTTGTGAAAGGAAAAAAAGAACAGAGTGGAGAGATTATACTTCTGTTTGCAGTTTTTGCATTAATCAAAACAGTGGTAATAAAACAAGTGTGAATTTGATCTGAGCTTGTCAGGTCCTGTAGCATTTAAATTAAATAATATCTGTAATTTTAGATGAATAGAAAGAAGGCAGGGAATAGAAAATATCAACATTTACAGGCGGTGTTTTGTACCAGTTGTATTAATGTTGTGATGAAACTGTATAGACCAGTTTTTCTTTAGGTTGGTGTAACATTTAGCAGTCTGTGATAGTCGATGGGCTGCTAGCCAATCCTGAGGATTCAGAGCCGAAATGGTAAAAGTTTGTTTGCAGGGTGATTGTATTTGTCCAAAGCCCCAGGAAAGACTTTAGAAATGGTGAACAAGGATGTATTGACAGTAATTTAATTGCCACCGGAGAAGCCAGACTTAAAGGATACCATTTTTTTTCATGCTTTTCCACTAAAGGTTTTTCCATTTTGGTATAACATGTTACCCTGTGTAGAGTGCAACTCCCAGAAGCATACAGAGCAGTAGAAGTAACCTGGAATGAGCTTTCCCTCCTCTTATGTGCCAGTAAGAATTTTAAAATTGTAGCTAATAATATTAATAATAATATTTATAAAACAGCATTTTATTTGGAATTCAGAAGGTAATATGAGCATTATTTCACTGAGGTCTTTCAGAGTTTTGGTGAGCAAGGAGTAATAAAGAGGTACTGAATAGAATACAAAGTACTTTGAGTAGAAAAATGATTTTAAAGAAGATACTCTGATAAAAAGCTAATGCTAAAACTATTACTAGATACTAAAAAATCAGTAAGGATTAATTTCAAGTCATTTCACTGGAAAGAGCTTCAGATGCTCTGTTGTAACAGCTTAAGGAATCTATTTTATCCTTTCTGTCACAGAAAAAATTAGTCTATAAGAAATCTAAATTACTCGATTGAAATCTTTTTCCATCAAATTACCTCCAATGTACACAGCTTCATCAAAAAGTGTTATGATGAAGCTATTATTATATTATATGTAAAATTATATGTTGAAAACTGGTGCTGAGTTCTCCCAAAAGCTTATCTTTCAATTCTTTTAGAATTGAATAATAAATCAGGCATTTTTTTTGTTCCATGGTTTTCAATTGAAAATATTCCATGTACTTCTAGAAGAAGTGGCGGACCAAAACTGGGTATCTCCTTGTGGGTACTGTATGCATTACCTGATGTCATCAATCAGCATATGGAGCCAGTATCTCAGAGTAAGAAAACATATTGCTAGCCAATATTAATTTCT